ATCACTCCATATTAGTTCTTTGCTTTGGGCTATAACATCTGGAACTCTCTTTGATCGGTTGGCAAACCAATCCTTTTCACCTCTGGAATGCCCAGCCCTCCTGTCTTGCGATTCACACCATAGTGCTTTACCTATTCTTGCTCTCTTCCCTCCATTACGATAAACCTCCAATAATTTCTGCATTTCCTTTAATTCTCGATGATAAAACCTGATTGGGATCATCCAAAACAAAAAATTGATCTTTGGCAGAATTTTCATTGTTGCTACTGCTATTCTTCCAAACCATGATAATTTTATATTTTCATATTTTCCTATGTTATGTTTTATGTCCTTCTTTTAACTTTTCATGATTTTTCTTCTTTAATTCTTGACTATTTTTTGGAATATCAATTCCTAAGTATCTAACACTAGCCACTATTTTTCATTTATATTTTTCTTTTAAGATATCCAATTCCTTACTATTATGATTATATAACATCATTTCTGATTTTTCCCAATTAACTTGCAACCCACTATACTTCCCAAACTCCTTTAAATGTAAATTTAAAGGAGGCCCCATCGGTGTGGGTGTTCAAGGATAGGCTGGACGTCCACATGGTGGGCATGTCGTGAGCGGAGCCGGCTGATGCCGGAGGTCAGACTAGATGGCCGGGGAAGCCCATTCTGACTCGCTCTGTTTCTATGTTTCTAAATATATTCTCTTTAGAGTATTTATTGGCTCTTGAAATGTTTCCAATGTATCATCCGCAAATAAATTAATTTTAATTCCCTGACATACTCCAATTCCGTCTGTCTGTATATCATGCCTAACTCCATTTGCCAAAACTTCCATCATGAAAGCATATAACACTGGGGATGAGGGACAACCCTGCCTCGTGCCTTGGCTTAGGTTTATTGTTGCTGTTATACCATCATTTACAATTATTTTTGCCGTACTTTCTGAATATAATTGATTTATTACTTTCTTAAACTTTATTCCAAATCCCATATTCTCTGTTAAGATCTTCATTGTTGGCCATTCCTCACAGTCAAATGCTTTAAACATATTTACTACTAATATGCTTGCCTTTACATTTTGCTTCTCGATTTAATATTTAATACTCTCCTTCCTACATCTGACATTTGTCAACCTCTTACAAACCC